TTTCATCAACACGCCTTTAGGTCCTATCTCCTCTATTTCTGGTCTGATGAAGACCTAAATACTGAAATGTAGCTCTTAAATTTACGGTCGGCAGTTCTGAAAAGGTCATTCGGTTGTGGTTTTGATTCTCTTCGTAGGCCGAACGTTTTGCCATCAACATATTATTATATCAACATATTTGTGCTAGGAATTAAATTTCCTGTGTCGTCTTCGTCATATCATTGTGTTCCTTTAGATCAACGAAAAACAAGACTACACTCTGATGAAATACGTCACCGTGTTTTACATGCTTCTCCATGCAGCTGTGGCTACCCACACAAGGTATGGAAAAGTGTTCCACTTGTTTTCTGCATGCCTAAAAATCTTTAATCGTTTCATAAAGGAATTGGAAATTGTTATTTTGTTCCTTCAGGGCCAAACTGAAATACCCTCAACAAGAGCAAACCGCTTTTCAAAGACGGCGAGAGTCACAGGAAACTCTTGCAACAGTTCAGTGCGCTCTTTTGGGGAGGTATTCTCCAACCGCTCTACTTTGTGATGTGTTGCCTCTTCTTCTGCAAATTGTGCAGCCACCAATTAAAACGGTACTATTTTATTCCAATAAATTCGTACTGGGTGGAACCTACTTTTTTGGGATATCTGCTTCTGGGTCGTTTACATTCTATATATTACTGACTGTAATTTTGTCTGTCTGTTTGTATGTTGGTCTCTCTGTCAGGAAATTCTGCAGCAATAGAGAAATCACCTCACAGTCTAATGTGGATTGAGCGTAATGCTAATGGTGAGCGGGGTGTGTATCGAGCTGAACGTAGCTTTGAGAATGAGAGGGGTTGGCCTTTTTACATGCGTGTCATGCTTGCGGCGCCAAAGTTGTTCCATGTGGAGTGAGTAAAGAAATCGTCTGGAGCTTCAGCATAACTTCTAGCACTATTGCACTATTACAACCCCAGTGGGGGTGAGATGGGTCAAAAAATAATTTTCGCTGAAACTTCTGCTATGGGGGTTATCGAGGGTCCTGATCACGAATATGACATCCATTTTTGGCGCTGGCGCCATGGCGCCACTGATTATCACCAAATTCGCTGTAAACTTCTGTATAGGGGTTATTTGGGGCCCTGATCACGAATATGACACTCGTTTTTGACATTCGTGCTGTTTAACGCATATTTTCTGCTTTTCTAAGCTTTCTCACCTATAGCGCCTAAGACTAAGCTTAGGGGAGGGGAGTGAAACTCCGGAGTGGGTAAACCACGCACCGTGTGGCAAAAGTTGGAGTGTGTCAGACCACAGGGGAGTGGCCTACTCACTTTGGAGCCCTCCACTATTCAAAGGCTTAGTCCTGATTGCGATCTAATTAGTGCGAGGGCGCAGACGAGCAGGAAATAGGCGCCGAATAGCGCTAACAACAAAAACGAATGTCATATTCGTAATCAGGACCCCAAATAACCCCTATACAGAAGTTTACAGCGAATTTAGTGGGAAACAGTCGTGGCGCCACCTGGCGCCAAATGGCGCCAAATTGGCGCCAGCGCCAAAAATGATATCATATTCGTGATCAGGACCCTCGATAACCTCCATAAACTTCGTTTCAGCCAAAATTATTT